GTTTTGTAGTTGTTTTTAATGTCTCTTTGTGCACTTACTTTTTGCACATGTGCAATGTGTTTTTTTAACTACAAATGGCAAATAAACTGACCTAACCTAACCTAAAGTTTTACTGCAGCCCCCTTTAAGATAAAATGAGATAAGTTAAACCTGTTTTGTCCCACAATGGGGAAATTTTATGTTGTTTTTGAAGAAGCAAAGCAAAGCTCATTTGGCTGGTGCAGTTGTATAAAACACACAGTTTAATGGAGCTACAAAATATAGAAACGTTCAGCTCTTAATTGTCCATTTGCCAAACCAGTGTCAGCCAGACTGCATCTTTTGTCTCTCAAAAGAGCGGAGAAGGTCAAGGAGAAGATCCATGCTATGTCTTCTGTCAGTTTTTGGTATAACCTGATTTTTTTTTTTTTTTTTTTTTTTATGTAGTGGTATAATGTTTGTTTTGAGACAGTCATGGTTTAGTCTTGGTATACACTTCAAAAATGAATAGAAGTCATAGGTAAATTCAAATTACTCAAATTAAGTACATTTCACTTGATTTGACTAGATTTGACTTGACAAGTAAACTTATCTACTAATGGAGTAAGTCCTTTTTTCTTGATTTAAACAACATAAGAGTTGTTGTTTTTCTTGTCTTTAGTGTAACTATATGTATTTTCTTTTTTAAGTACAAAAAGGCCCATTCCATTGGTAGGTAGTTTTACTTTTCATGTGAAATTTATTCAAATCTCAAATTTTCTTAATTTAAATAGTTTTAACTTGTCAAGATTTTACTTTTTGCAGTGTAAATTATTCACTACTGCTTGTTTCAGACAAAAGGTGAGTCTGTAATCTGAATGTAAAGTCAGCTGACATATGTGTTCTTGTCTAATGGAAAAGACAGTTGTATCACGAGCATCTCGAAGGCAGGAGATGGTTTAGTGACATTGCACTGATCCGTGAACACTGGGATCACAGTCTGGCTTTAATTACACTGATTAGACTGAGCTGAAATTGAGCATGAAATCACTGATCTGGAGTCAGCAGAACAAATTTGATTGGCTGCTGCACAAGACCTCCCCAAAACCATCTGCTGCTTTGATGTTAAAGGCGCTGTACCTCATTTTCACTCTCTTAAAAACATGAAAAACACAAGCAGTTCATTTTTCTGCCACCTGTCTGCTACCTGCTTGTCTCCATGGAAATGTAATCGCTTTGTCTAGAATGTTCCACAGTATAGATTAAACCTATCTGTCACAAGGGAGAAAAACAAGTTACAGTAAAGCTATTACAATTCAGATCTGTGGAGAGTATGGATATATTTGAAGTCATTTAACATCTCCATGGAGACAAGCAGATAGCAAATCCTCCACCAGAAAAGTTGCACAGTGCACCTTTAAAAAGTTTGTAGTGGTCCATTGTTATTTCTCACTGACCTTATCTAGTTTATACAGGTTTTTCACAACTCTCAGAGACCAGAGTGGAGTTTTGCAGTAACAGTATAAAAACAATAACTACCATGCTAACAGTGCACTTCCTGGTTATTGGACAATAAAATGCTTTCTAATTAGATGCAGACAGCACACAGTTCACTTATTTGGACCTCAAGAGCTGCTTATACAAGATATCTGTAGTGGAGCTAGACAAATTTTGCTCAGATACATGGAAAAAACTGCGCACACTACAGAACTATAAAGATCATGTGTTTCTTATTTACATAAAATCAGCATGATACATGAACATTTGAAATAAAAGAAAAGAAAGTGTATCTTAAAGTAACAGTTCCAATAATTCTGGGCTGTTGGTGCTTATACATCTTATCTTCAGTTACAATGTAATTCTCTATAATTTCTCATCTAGGGTTGGATGAAATTTCCAAAAATTATTATCTTATGATGATTATCAGATATGTGCTAAAACGTGCCTGTAAGCGTGTTCTTACTTGCATAATCACCACATCAAACTTGGGACTAAAATGGCACTCAATATGGAACTAAACCATGACTAGACCAGATCTAAACCAGGACTAGAACAAGAGCAAACCAAACCTACATTAAACTACATCTGGGGGGTCACATATCACCTAAAACATAAATAGACTGCAAACTCAAAACTAAAATGCACTTATACAATATTTCGAGATAATTTGCAAAAATAAGTGCCATTTGAAAAAGTTAGCGGAGGCCAAAGCCAAATTCATTTTACTGCTTTCAAAATATCATTCCATCTCTCCTTGATAAAATCCACTATACAATAATGTCATTGGTAATACTTGTAAAAATGGTAACAAAAAGAAAAAAAAACAAACTTTGTGGCAATTTTTCTAAACAGAGATATCTGTTTTTGCTATTGCCATCATCAATTTTGTTATAATGAGGATAAACAGGACAACAATGGACTAAACCAAAACCAGCCGAGAGTGTCAATCAATTTTTTTTTCCTGACAAAAAACTGCTGCAGAAGAAGTAAATCTCAAATGTTTGTTTTCAAAAATGACAAAATATGACTGATTATTACTCCAAATCCTTATACGGCCACATGGATATTCTCAAAACTCTCTTTCAACTGACAGATCTGGTTTAGCTTCCAATAGCTTCACACACCATGTAAAAGTCCAAGCAAAAACCCAGTACAAAACTATTCTGTCTCATAATATGTCACAACACTTTCTACAATTGAGCTCTACAAATTGGCTGTAGTTTACTCAGGCAAAACAAGTATTACAGTAGCTAAGAGCGTAAAAGGGTGGGCACCTGCAGAAGGGCACCTGACGTAAAGCCAAATCAAAGGGCTACCATGGTAAATCTGAAAGGCTTCGGGGATGATAATGTGAGGGGAAAAGACACAGTAAACCAAGTAAATCAAGAATTCCACTAAATAAAAGATCAAATATTTTAATGGATAATAATGTGACTATTTTGCTCTATAAATAAAGATGTATTATTATTATTATTATTTACAGTTGTCAGATCTCCACCACTCCAGCTCCAAACTTATCTAGGTCACCCATAGAGTTCCAAAAGCCTTTATATAAAGTTTGGTCAGGTAAGTTTTATTTTTATTGTGTTTAATGCACCTATATATTATGTCTTCCCTAATGCTGTATATCCTGCTCCTCTGACCTCCTCTTATAGGATTAAGCAGAGATGTGTGAGAGTGCTGGTATTTATTGTTACCTCTAGAAGATCTGCATTAGTACATTACATATGTTTCAAGACCCTGCATCAACCTTTATGTGATGTTCTGTTTAACTTATCTAACTTAAGCTATACAAACACCTGTAACTGAATAAAAGCAAGATAGAGATAGATAAGATTTAAAGTTATACAGTGGAACATTCCAGCAAAGCCAGAACATCAGGCAGGTAGCGGACCATCTATCTCAAAATAGTAGTAGATTTTCTATTGCTATGTGGTTACTATGTGGCCTAGTTCTAAAACCATTCTTAAACTGTTAAGGAAAGGTCTGATTTTTTTCCGCATTGTGTGATTTTTTTCCTGCTTTGATACTTTCAGATTAGTACCTAGTTTCAATACCTGTTTTAGTATTGATAGTAATTATTTGAATACCCTATATGAGACAAACTCTTGCGGTTATAATGAATGGATTTAATTAATATTGTCGGGTTTGAAGTGGCACAAAAATGGCACAGAAAAATGATACTGTTGTCATGGAAACATATTCATTGGGTTTAAATATACTTTCTACATTCAGTTTGGCACAAATGAGTAAGTTGGAATTTCCATTTTCACATCTACCATTGTTGATCACTTTTGTCTTTTTTCTGTTCTGCATTTTTACAATTCATCATTGGAGCAAAGTTACAAAATAAACATGAAATTATCTAAAATCTAAACCACAAAGTGAAAATGAAATTACCTTAACATGAACATGAACTAATCGGCTTTGGTTTGACTCAGGTTATGTTTCCTAGTGACTAATTTCCAAAGAACTGTGCAGGAGAAGAATCGGATGCATCATTTTGCCTTTGGGGGAAGAATCGGCATGAAAGTCATAAAACAGGCATGACAAATGAACAAAACATTTAGAGGAATAGATTATTGTTATAGATTCTTTAGCAAATGACACGCCTTTAGCAAGTACTTTTAGGCTTGTTGCTAACTGTTATAAAGCTTTGAACACCTTTCCCATTTTAAAAGATAAAAATCTTTCTGTCCTTTTTGATTAATAATTGCATTAATAAACCCCACTGACTGAGAGGAGCTGGGTCTGTTTGTTATGACTTTTAAGATCGTTTTCTAGCCCATAAAAGAATATACCCTCTTCCCCTGTAAGTGAATGGAAAGTTGGAGACTTAAATGGGCCGAGGAAAAGAAACACACTGACAAAGCATCTGACAATAAAAAGGAATTTAGGGTCCAAACTGAGTGAGATGACAAAACATAAACACGCCTAACTGTGTGTGTAGCTAATCCTAATGATTATTTACTGGTTCAATGGTCATATCAAGTTTATAAGTTACAATGAAATGCATCTATCACCAATTCTTTCTGAAAACGCCATCCATGTTTTTGAATAACTTTTTGAACATGAGTTATCAACTAAAACAAAGTCCCTTTGTCTGACTTGTATCATCTGCACTGTGCGAAATCAAAGAAAGAGTTCAGACGAAATGTAGCAGCGCGTGCTAAACAGAGACTCACTGTAACACAAAGATACATTTAACAGTCAAGCAAACCATGAAAGATAATGGGGCTTTATATGTGAACAAAACACATAAAGCTCCATTATGTGGTAGGCTTCATGATTGTGTTATTTAAAATAAATATTGGAAATTAGAAGTAAGCGTAATGTGGGTTGTTTTAACATTACCTACAACTTCCTAATATAGTATATATACATAGTATATATTCCAGTACAAATGCCTCGATATCTCAACATGCCGTGATGAGCCTTGATGCTTTGGCGTGTTTAGTATCAGCATTATATTTGCATCAGTTTCATAATTCACTTTAAATCTAACTAAAACGCTGCCCCGTGCGTAAAATAGAGGTACTCACCCTTGAGCCGGGTTTCTGTGCGCACGCGTGGCGCAGGTGACAGAAGAGCAGAGGCGCGAGGACGTGAGACGTGAACAGGACCAACGTGGACAATAACATACTGCGGAGTGGCGCTGGACGAGCAGGCACGAGTTGGTGACGTTCAACAGGTCCCGTGCGTGCAGACAGGACCAATAATGCTCCAAAATGTCAGTCCTCAAGAAGCGATGTTTCACCCAATATCGTGTCCTCTGGGTTTATTCACATAATGGCACGTGCGGGTTGAGGGACTTGGCACTAACCATTTCAGTGACTTTTATCCGCGGAGCGCGCGAGTCAGCTGTACATCGCATCCACAGGTCCAGTGCCCAGTGTGCACTGAATTTAAAAGCAAAGGTGGGAGCAGCGGCGCTGACGGACGTGCAGCGCGGTCCAATAAAAATATCAGGTTTAAAACCACGCCCAAATGAAGTTGGATGAAGTTTGCTGCTGTGGTCAGTTGGACGAGAGAGAGAGGAAAGGCAGCTGCGTAACCTCAGCTATAGACCATGGGAGCAGGACAATGACTGAGCAATTGTAAGGGTCAATTTTGAGTTTCTTTTGCCCATTACCCACATTCACAAGCAGAGTGTGGACTATAATGGCCTGGTGACATTTAACCTGCTGCTATAGAACATATATATAATGAACAGATCCACTGATTCAGGTCAAGGACTGTCACCTAAGTCATGAATCTCTCAGAGAACTTTATGAAGAAACTGTGTTTAAGGAAAATGTCTGTGTCTTACTAAAAAAAAAAAAAGCTAAAGAAGCCAGAAAAGGTAAAAGACACTTAAATCCCAATGAGTACTCTTAATTATTTATTCAGGCATATTTCACCTTTATTTGAAGTCTTTTGATCTTTCCAGGAGACTTGTGTCATTGTCAGTAACTGTCCAAGACTCAGTCCAACATATATAATATAATGAATTACATGTAGCTCCATGTGAATGCTGATGGTTGTTACCATCACATAGATACATTCTTTATTGAAGTGCGTAAATGAGCCATGGTGTTCATAGCTCAAAGAGATGAGACTGTATAACTTCAGTTTTCCTCTGATCTTTTCATGACATTCACAATGAAGCCTAAGAATTAGTTGAAAAGAATCTGAGAGTCCAAAGAGTGGAGTGCAGGTGTCCGTCAGCAGACCCCTTTAGAAGAGGGCCTGGTGGTCACCATGTGGAGGGACGATACGCTCCCCTGCCCCAGCTCCTGCACCCTCGGGTTTGTCTATGGGATATTTTTAAAGAGTGCGCAATGACAGTTGAGCACCTTTTGGAGTGGCCCATTCAAGAGGCTTTAATTAGAGCTATAGAGCTGCGAGAATTGCCACAATTATGGCCAGTATTAATGATGTGTGAGCAGAGCATTGAATCAGTGGAGTTTTCACACACAGAAGGGAGAAGGGGGGACATGAAAGTGAAAAGTGGACTATCTGAATTCTTTGGTACAGTCAGGGGAAATCAACAAGAAATGGCACATAGAATAACGGTAAGAGGACCAAGGAGACAACGTGACCATGTTACATCACGCCTGTGAAATATGCATCATTTAAAGTTCTTTATTTATCATAAAATAGATATGTACCTAGATCAGATGTACTGATGTATGTGGCCCTGAACCACATGTGCCCCACCAAAATGTGACAATCACACCCTGAAGTTCTAGTGGAGTGCCTACAGAACAGAACACTGTGTGTCTATCTTCACAACACGTGTGTTATACTGTACCCATCTATGTGAGATCTGGATACATAGATGGTTCTGAGGTCTAAAAGTCCATAGGTGACAGGGCGCTGGAGGAATGTTAACGAGTCCACTTTCTATCTGCTTCCATTGAGCACTCATCTTTACAAAGAGCACAGGTCTGTGTGGGGCTGAGGGTTGTTTAGGGAACGCACAGGTTCACACTTGAATCCTGTCGTCATTTGGCTACAGATCAAAGAAACCCTCCACAACATAAAGCATTGAATGGACACACTCAATAGATCTGTACTTCCCAATTACTGCAGTGACCCATCTCCCTAAAGGATTACACTGGCACATACAGACTAAATTAGCAGGTGTCTGTGGACAAGGGCCACCCAGAGACGGGGCACCCACAGCGGGTGTCCACAGATGTTCAGCTCTAAAGCCCCATGGACAGTGCACACACAGTTTAAGTATAGACAATAAATAATGAGAAGGAATAATGGTCAAACTGAGAATATACTTTGCAATAAATACAGTTGTATATATTGCCCTAGGTTGCACCATATATGTAGGGTTGGTTTGAGCTGTCAAAGTGCAGATTACTTGAGATCTCTCATAGAGTGTATACCTGTCCAAGGATAGATGATGTTAATTGTTTCTGGCATGCACTACATAATGAATCATTTATCATAGCACAAAATCTCAAGCTAAAAGCCAAAACATATAGCATATATAAAGTTTGCTGTAGTAGGATGCTTCCATATATAGGCTTAGAAATAATATTGTTTCCATTTTTAGTCTCATTTGAGCCAATGCTGCTGTCTGACGCAGACTGAAGCTGGTGGCTATATGGAAAAGTTGGAGGTCACATAGAAAGCCCTCTTCTTTAAAGTGTCATCTGGATTTCATTTCATAAATTCCACATATTTTACATGTACTGGCTGCAATTTTCACTAGCTCCTGAAACAAAGTGTACATTTGGCAGTAAAGATCAGAGTGAAGTCTCCACAGAGAACAACACAAGTGCATAGGCTGAAGTGACAGCACAAACAAACACACACTGAAAGTGTGAAAAGGACCATTGAGCCTGGACTGGTGTCACACACCTGCGCGCCCCATTCACCCTCTGTTTACACACTGTCATACACAATTACAGCCCTGCGCCTGTCCTCCTCACCCCCCGTCAGCCCCCACCCTGTCAGCCCCCACCCTCTTGGCCCCCACCTTCTCAGCCCCCACCCACCCGGTCCTTATGGCTGTCTAATTGAGCATAGCGCTCAACTGATTGAATCAACAGCTCTGTCTCAGGGACCTTTCCCCTGTGCTGAGGAGGGGTCTGCTCCGCTCCAGGACGTCCCATAGCACAGGACAGTTATGGAGGGGGCAGTGGTGTAGGGTCAGGGGGTATAGCTGTTGAAAGTGTCCAGAAAAGTGTCCTTTCTGTTGGCAAACTTCGACTGGAGATGTGAAGTGGGGGCACCCAAAGGTCCTGTCACAGGAGCAGCAGGGTGTCACAGAGGCACATTAGGCTGCACTTTCTCACACTCACTCCACTCAGGTCTGGGTACGATGTTCTTAAGTTGAGTTGAAAACATAAAATGAAATGGAGGAACTGTTCCAAGTTTGGCCCATTTCATGTGAAGACCATTGTGTCTTGGATAGATTCTTACAGATGGTGCATGAATTGTTCTACATCCATATTCATTATTTTGTATTACTCTATATATCTTGTGTAATCTGTGGCTCTGTGGGATCCCTCAAAGAACAGACCCACAGTGCACAGTTGATAATCTCCCAGAAGTGCTCCTTTCAAATATTCTTTTTCCCCCTGTATTTGATCCCTGTCAATGCAACATGGGGCAATGTGCATCCAGAGGAAACCAAGTGTGAGGCAAGTTGTGGGTGAAATTGCAAATCTATCTACAAGGAATGGATTCTTTTAGCCGAACAGAATAAAGATGTTATTGTATATTTTTATTTGACAAATAATAACTATTGGGGAAGTTAGGCAAGCTTTGGACATTTGGCACAATGGCTGAAGTAGCACTCCGGACTCACAGCAAGAAGGTTGCACACGGAACCAGACTTTTATGTGAGGAGTTTGCATAATTCTCCTTGTGGGTTTTCTCTAGGGACTTCAGTTTCTCCCATAAACCCAAAAACATGCACAATAGGTCCAATCCTCCAGCTACAGTTGGTCTGTCAAAATCTAGCTCAAGATCTGGAGATGGGACCTGGGTGCTGGATGGTGAATCTCAAGGCTCTTGACAGAGTGCCCTGGAAAAATAGGTAACAATTATGGAATTACATGTAATTCATTGCTCAAACCAAGAATTAAAATGATAAACTTATAATCAAAATCAAAACCAAGCAAGAATCTTAGCAAAATCATAAATAGACTATGTTTTATTGAAGTTGGTAGTCTAAGCTGTCATATAGAAATAGTAGAATTGACTCTTATATGATTGCCTCATTACAGAAATATTCTCACCTCCCGATGAACCCATGTCCATCTTTAGAGGGGAGCATGCCCAACCATAAACACAAACAATAACATTGAAAAGTGTCTGCGCCCTCCAGACCCCATGCCCCTAGTTAACAAACCATGGCCCGCACGTTCCTCTGGTCACTGGTTTCACACTGTCCCCCTAATACGACTCACGGGAGGGGCCAATTAAACCAGCACTGCCCCCCGTACCATCCCCACAGCACCCACCCTCCTTCAGTTTGGGTCAGGAGTTTAGTGGGTCAACACAGCACTTCAGACACAGTTATCTAATCCCGGTTCAGATCTGGAACTGGACCAAACCGGACCTGAGTCTGTCTTAATGCATTTGTATGTGACACTTTATTTAGTAATGACTAACTGGGCTAATGCTTGAGTCATGAGGGTTTTCTGCATGAATTCCCCCTTACTCACCACAGACCGGAGACATGGGGTTGGTGTGGAATATGTAAAACAAGCACAATTAAAGCCGCAAGCGGCGTCGAACGGCCCTCGCCCGCCGCGCCCGTGAACGCCGCGCCCGCGAACGCCGCGCCCGTGAACGCCGCGCCCGCGAATGCCGTGCCTGCAAATAGTGTGCCGTGCCAACACCATACTGTAAACGCCGTGTCCGCAAACTCTGTGCCTGGAAATGGCAAAATGACATAGTACGCCTGTAAATGTTCTTTGCACCCCTACTGGCCAACCTTGAAAAATTCCCATGTCAGCAATATATCTTTTTTCTTCTAGTCATTAATAGAATTTAATTCCCAAATGTGGTGCAGATCCGACAATGTTGATGTTTCATGTCTATGGTAGGGGGCGCTATAGTGTTTTTTCATATGTTTTATAGTGTATTATATTCAGACTGAGATCACACATTAGTGATACAAATTTCAACACGATTGGACTAAGTATGTGGGAACAGGAGCAAATAATGTCACCTTGAAATTCGCCAAAACTTTGACCAAATTTTGCAGCTTCGCCGCACGTAAACCGTGACAGTTATCAAAAAAAATCAGCTAACTTTAGATGTTCCACTTGTCTAGATGATGTACGGTGATTTTCAGCCCTGTGGGTGAAGCACCTTCAGAGGAGTTCGTTCAAACGCAATGTGAACGAAAATGCGGACTGAAACTTCAATCCAAGATGGCCGCCTTCTGGTTTGTCAGGGGGCGTGGCCATAATACATTTTTTTGTTTGTCTTGACATGACAAATGTATGTAGCGAATTTCATGGCTCTACGACAAAGTTGACTGGGACGTATCCCATAGGAGCCAAATTTTTGAGTCTTTGCGCCCCTGCTGGCCAACAGTGAAAATGGTATCATGTCCATAATATAATTTTTTGCTCATAATCATGCATAGAATTTAATTCCCAAATTTGGTGCAGATTTGACTATGTTGACTTTTCATGTCTATGGTAGGGGGCGCTATAGTGTTCACTTTTCATATGTTTTTTAGTGTATTATATTCAGACTGAGATCACACATTAGTGATTCAAATTTCAGCATGATGGGACTAAGCATGTGCGTGTAATATATTTTTTAATATTTTTGGAAGGAGTTTTAGCGCCCCTGCTGGCCAACAGTGAAAAATTCGCCATGTCCATAATATACTTTTTTGCTCATAATTATGCATAGAATTTAATTACCAAATTTGGTGCAGATCTGATAATGTTGACGTTTCATGTCTATGGTAGGGGGCGCTATAGTGTTTTTTCATATGTTTTATAGTGTATTATATTCAGACTGAGATCACACATTAGTGATTCAAATTTCAACACGATCGGACTAAGTATGTGGGAACAGGAGCAAATAATGTCACCTTGAAATTCGCCAAAACTTTGACCAAATTTTGCAGCTTCGCCGCACGTAAACCGTGACAGTTATCAAAAAAAATCAGCTAACTTTAGATGTTCCACTTCTCTAGATGATGTACGGTGATTTTCAGCCCTGTGGGTGAAGCACCTTCAGAGGAGTTCGTTCAAACGCAATGTGAACGAAAATGCGGACTAAAATTTCAATCCAATATGGCCGCCTTCTGGTTTGTCAGGGGGCGTGGCCATAATAACATTTTTTGTTTGTCTTGACATGACGAATGTGTGTACCGAATTTCGTGGCTCTACGACAAAGTTGACGTCGGGACGTCTCCCATAGGCGCAATGTATTTTGACTTTTCGAGGTGGCGCTGTGTCGCCATTTTTTTATGCCCGTGCACGAAACCTATATTTTATCGAATTTTTCGCCACTTCTGAATTTTGGGCCAAGTTTGGTGAGTTTTTGAACGTGTTTAGGGGGTCAAATTAGAGTTCAAAGAGCAGAAGAATAATAAAAATAAAAATAAAATAAAATAATAATAATTCGAGCAAAAACAATATATCCGAAAACATTAGAACAACATATTATACGTTTTTTGAAAGCTCTCGACCTTCCCCACGTCACCGTGGGGTCATTGGTGAGTGACGGGCACTGAGGCGCTCGTCATTCGCCATCTCGTCGAGGTCACCCATCGCCTTCCATTGACTTCCATTCATTTTTAGCAGTAGTAAATATGAGCCAGGCCTTGGGCGTGGGTTACTGGATACTGCTGTTCGTGCCGGGGGACCGTGGACATAGTTGCATGTCGTCTTGTCGCATTCGGACATGCGCACGTCCCTTCCCATTTGCTCCGCTGAGCGAAGCAATAGGCCCTACGCCCTGTCGGGGCTCGGGCCTAAAAAGAGAGAGGTTATGAACAAATATGTATATCCAGATGCACATCCAGCAATTTACATGCCATTTCAATTAATTTGTCAGTTTATTGCATTTATCTTACAATATATTAGCCCATTAAAAGTCATTTATTACATAAAATTGAATCTTGTGAGCCTTAAGCCATGTTAGAACATCGAAAAAAAATATTTGGACTAAACATTGCAAAAATATGTATAAAAAACTGAAAAAGAAGCCATAATATACACTTACTTATCAATATGGTATAGTCTATTAAAGTAAATTGTGCTATAAATGGTAAAATCAAAAGAATGAAGTTGCCTATGCTGTCTTCCTTTTTGCTCACTTCAAAGTGTCCAGGCATTCAGTCTAGACACAGGTGCCAGGCAGCCACAACTTGCTTTCTTTGTAACACTATACTGCACACTGTACTACCATCTAGCGGCATTATCTGAGATTGCAATGCCATCCAACCTTTTTCTCAGAGGTTTCATTACTTTTACTACACCATGTGTCCAAACTATTATTGAGTAATGATGATGTTAAGTGCGTAATTTTAGAGACGTTCTGAGAGAAAACAAGCTAAACAACAATTTATTGCCTTTGAAAAGCTTTTTGTCTTACCACATTTTAGGCTTTAAAGCTACAGTTACATCTGCTCTATAAACCCACCAGTCACTTAAAACAATCGCCTTCAAGAAAAGTGGCACTGCAGTCATCTGGTCCTGTCAGGTGAGGTGAGCTCATAGACCCTAACCATCATCTTAACAAAGAAAGGCAGCGCCGCGTAGTGGCTAAAAGACGCAAAAAGAAAGAAAGAAATCAAAATACAACTTTATAGTCCATAACTTAATTTAACAGTGTAGATGTACTATAAACATGAATAAATAGTTCGATTTCATTTCTTTTTTATTATTATTATTATTTTGTTTAGATTTTTTACTCTCCAATGTAATACCATGGGCTCCGAGCGACTGAAGAAGCCAGGAGTCACTAAATCTTGAGCCAGTGTAGCAAAGTGGACTGTTAGTGTTTTTGCTCTCGGGCAGATACCATTAAATCAATTGGCCGCGTGTTCTTTGCGCGTGCAGAGAGCGGACAGGCGCGCTTAATTGCTCGTGCAGACCAAAGGCATTATATGTTATGCACTGGCTTGTACATACTGTAGGCAGGGGAGACATATTCTCAGCATCTTTTCCAGAAGAGGGCGGAGCTACGGAGGCTGGAAGAGGGATGCTGACGCTGAGCAGGTGGGTACCGCGGATGTTTACTGGCGCGCTCTCTGCCACAACACCTCATCACAACCTGCTTATAACCTCGATATATCAGCACATATCGATCTTACGTTACGCGTTAAGAATTGCCTAAAGATCGTATAAGATTTCTGTTCGCTGCTGCGTTGATTGACAAGCTGTGAAGCCCACCGTCTGTCGCGATGCTGTACGGGATCTGATGCTCCCATAGCGGCGCCGCGGCCTCTGCCTTTCCGCCTTGCGTTTTTATTATGCGGGAAACAAGGAGCAGCGGACGGAGAACAGGCGAACAAAGCACCAGCCGCTGCACTACCGAGGCGCAAGTAAACAGTGGCAGGTTAGTGCATTTGGCTTATATAGGCCTACATATACTGTGCTAGTGTAGAAAATTAGCCAAGACGCAGATTTTACGCAGCAAATATCCACTGTGACCATTAATACTATTTGTATTAAAAATAATTACACGTAGGCTATGTTTTTAGAGGTTTTATTTGCCAATTGCTCTTATGTTAATGAAAAGTCACAGCCTAGTGTTATTGATGATTCACTATATATCACTAAGAAGACCCCCACCACACCTTCTACTCGCCAATACAGGCTAATTAATGTCATGGCTAGGTTCCGGATGCGTTTGTAGGTTGATTGAGGGATATAGAGTGAGAAAATACGTCTACGAGTAATCAAATCGTCTCAGCCCAGTAACTTTGCCAAAAATAGCGTCTCTATAAAAGGACAGTGGTGTTGCCGTGCGTTATGTCACTTCCCTAGAGGCCAGATATGTCTCATCTGGAGTGCATGAATCTGTGTTTTCTGCATGCATGAACTTGTGTTAGGACCATCCCCCATAGACTAGACGTATTAGAATAGAGGTGAGGGGAAACATCGTAAAAAGTACCCCACCAAATTCATTTAGAGGCCTGGAAACAACAACATAGGGATTTATTTCATCTTGTACAGTGTAGGATTGTAATAGTGTTTCAGTGTGAATTATTTTACTCTATGGCTCAGAGTTGAATATTGATCATGCATAGTGGGTTTATTAGGAAATTATTTGGTTTGATAAAAAAAAAAAAAACATTTGCCGTTGTATGTTATTTAACCTTGGCACTCTTTTCTACATTAATGCCATGATTTTAATTTTACCAATGGCTGAAAAAAGTAGTTTATCATATCTTACCTATTGAGGAAGTGTGTATTTTGAATTACAGGCAAAGTCATAGCTATTTTGAACACCAGAAGTGTTTTAGTAATACTCATTTTTACAAATAAACTGTCTGCCTCTCATAGTATCAAGCTTGAAACTTGTAATCCTAATTGTTGTTTTTTTTCTCTTCTCTTTTCTATGTGTCTCCAACTGCACTTCCCCCCTCCCTGCAGTCAGTCATGGTGGACCCTTCGGAGGCAGAGGAGCAGACCAAGTGCAAGAGCCCGAGCGTGGCAGCTGAGGACCCCCGTGTCACCGACCAAAACACAGACGACGGCGATGGGACCGCGGAGGAGGATGGCGACGCCTGCTTCCAAACTCCACCCACTGGCAGCGCCGAACCGAGCCCCTGTCATACCATATCCATCCCGGAAACCCCTTCGCCTCAAATTGTCCCTTCGCCACAACCTCCACCTCAGGCTGAGCGGGATTTAGCACCCAAACTGCACTTGGATCTGTACAATTTCGACTCGCCAGCTGCGGAGGGGAGCCGATATGTTTTGACCAGTCCACGATCTCTGGAAGCATGTGCAAGATGTGGAGTGAAGCCGGTGGAGCTGTTGCCGCGGCCTTTGTCCGATTTTGCCAGAGAAGCTCCCGGGAGGTCCATGCGGGTAGCCACAGGATTGTTTGAGGTCTATGAACGAGAGAGGCACGCCAAGCTGAGGCAGTGCAGAGAGGAGAGAGAGAGGATAGTGAGAGAGGAGAAGCGCAGGATTTTACAAGCAGCGGTTAATAGTAACGTTTCACCTTCACTGGAGCACAAAGCATCACCTCCAAAAACAGTTTCAGTTATTGCACCTTCAGACAGTGGACCAACCTCAAAAGCAACAACTCAAGCTCCGAAATCCACTCTTTTGTCCAAACCTTCCATCAGCAATCTTAGCACTTCCCCAAAATTGACCCAAAATGGTTCTTCCAAAATTGGATCTACAAGCTCCCTGGCATCTTCAAAGGGAGGATTTCAAGGATCTAGGACCAAATCTACAGAGCAAGTCAGACTGACTCGGCAAGGATCTTCAGGTCCTCCTCCTGTTTCAAGGAAGTCCTCTGGGGGCAAACCTCCAAATACTTTTCCTCGATCAACCCCCAAGCCGCCTGCGTTTCCTAGAGCTAACACTACGCTAGCATCGTCTGTGTGTAAACCAGTGACCACTCAACCTAATGGGGTAATAGGAGGACACTTTGGGCAGCATAATGGACATTTTAAAGTGAGAGGTAAAAGCCATTCGCTAGAGTCGTTACAAAGGAAAATAGATCCAATTTACTCATCGGCATCTACTAACACTACAAACACATGCACCTCTTCAGAATCAGGGGCTTCTTCTTCCTATAGTTGGGACGGTACCAGAGATCATTGGGCAAAGGTTTCCAGTCCTAGAGCACGTACTCTAGCAACATTCAATTCTCTAATGGGACGAAGTTTAAGTCTGGGAGATCTGAGCCACTCTCCCCAGACAACTCAAAAGGTAGAGCGAATTGTAAAGGAGGTGAAAAGAAGGGGACTCAAAGCTGTTTCGGAGCGGGACAGGAAGATAGCGGCGTTGATGCTTGCTCGATATCAAGAAGAAGACATAATGAGTCAAACCAGATTCGTGGCGCATCTTCAGTGGGACAGTGAAAAGAGGATGGAGGAGTTTCGTAGAGAGCAGGAGGAAAGGGAGAAGCAAAAAGCAGTGCAACAATGTCAGAGAGTTTGGCAAAATCAAATATCTATACGGCAACAACGACTTAGCCAGCAAGAACGTGAGGTTGCAGAGGCCAAGCTCAAACAGGTTGAGGAAAATGAGGAGAAGTGGAAGGAGTTAGCCGAGCAACAAGAGAAAAATCGGTTGCTGAAGTTGCAGCAAGCTGCCAGAGAGGAAAAGCATAAGAAAGTATTGCAGGAGCAGAATCTAAAGGCAATAGAGGAGGAGCGGGCAGCGGTGTTGGAACAGGAGAGGCTACTGTTGAAAGAGAAGCTAACTATGGCAGAACTAAAAAGGCAAGAGAAGGAACACCAAGCCCAAGAAGAGAGACGAGGTTTGAATAAGGCGGAGAGGAGAAGACATGCAGCTATCATCCAAGAGATCGCACGTAGAGAGGAGGAGGAGAGGGAGGAGGCCAGGAGGCAGGCTGAGGAGAAGCTCAACCGATCGCTGGAAAAATACGAACAGATTGTGGAACGTAGGGGGCAGGAGATGAAGGAGAAAGCGAAGCGAGAAGAGAAGCAGATCCAGAAAGCACGCAAAGCTGCAGAGAGGCGTGAGAAAATTCAACAGCAGCAGTTTGTAGCCAAGGTTAAAGAAGCAGAAAAGAGGGCCCAACATGCAGCATTAGTGGTGGAGGAGAGAGCAAAGGAGAAGGCACAAAAGGCAGTTCAAAGTAGACAGGAAAAGGAGAGATTACAGAAACTTAACAGGCAAAGAGTGGAGGAGGAGGAGAGACAGAGGAGGTTGGAGCTCATGCAGTCCATTGAGAGAAAACTGGAGAAAAGCGAGCAGATTTTCAAGGAGAAGAAGGCGGTTTTGGAGAGCGCCCGGTCTGTAGCACGAGCATCTTTTCACGTGAGGGACAAAGTGAGAGAGGAGACCAACATGCGTACGTTTGACAAAATGGCTCTAGAGGCACAGCTCAAAGCGAGTCTGGATGAGAAATAAACTACAAACTATAAAACATCTGCCTTCACTGTCAAACAGCTTTACCCCATTTTCCAAATTCAGTGTTTTTCATATCTTACCCCTTAATTTTCTTATTTTTTTACATTATAACATGGATGTAAAGGAGACGTCAGCTGTATAAAGCCAATCCGGGACATATAGTACTTCATTATGGATGAGTGCATACTAAGGACTGCCCGATAAAACACAATTTCACTCTGCCCTCTGCACTGCCGCAACCACTGGACTGAAAAATGCACTGTTGAAAAGACTTATTGTTAACCAGGAAGCACAAGTCCGAGATACAAAGCTTTTAAGAGTCCTTCTGCAGGGCATGAATAAACTAAAAAAGCAAATGGTTTGACATTGTGCCCTTGAGCAAAGCTTGTTAATGACGTGATGCAGTGGGCAGCCTCTGCAGAGAAATAGCCTTGAAACAGTCACATGTTGTAACTAAAGCTGACGATGCAAAGAGCCTCGTGCTGCTGACCAATCAACATGGGATTTCACTTTGTGCAAAATGCCAACACCATTTAACACAGTAAGGACTCCCTCTGCCTCCCCTCCACAGACACACTGCAGCAAAGAAAGGCCCAGAACTGCTCACATCTGGTACCTGGAAATATGTCAAGGTCAAAAACAGGTATGACTTATATAGATATGTGCTGATCCCTAAAGTACAGCTCAGATATGGTGGCTTGTTTCAGCAATTGAAATGGCAGAACACATTTATTATTTACATTCAGAACAAACTGATTCAAAAGAAGGGCATCTGACATTTAAAAGCATACATTTAAAAGTGCACTGCTTAACTTTACTGATTTAGACTGTTTGTTCCCATGGACAGGTTATTGCTTTGCCTACAATGTTTCACAGTATGGCTTTAAACTTATCTATCAGACAAGCAGAGACTAGGATATGCAGGTCATATTGCTCACAATAAGAATGCATGTTTTTAAAGGCAATAATGCACTTGTGTATAAATGCAAGATAGATTAATGTAATGACATAATGTGGGGAAAAAACTAAACAAAAACAGAATCTCCATGGAGGCAAGCAGGTGGCTGGACTCCTACCAGAAAAAATAGCAGCTTTAAATGAAATAAGATTTTAATTTAAAACACTTAAATGCAACTGATAATATATTTCATTTATGTCCACTATTTGTGTTTACGGTAGTTTGTATAATCGTGTAGGGCTACTTATAATCTACCTAAAAAGGTGCATTGTGTAACATTTCTGGTGGAGGGTTCGTCCCATCACCTACTTGTTTCCATGGTGATGTCATTGCTTTGCCTGTAATATTTTTATAGCTCAAAAATACTTAGAAAAACATGCATTCTGACTGTGTGCAGGATTTCCTCTCCACAGATCTGACCTGTAACTTGGTCTGGTTTGGTCTCCATGATGTTAGAAAGATTTAATAACATACTGTGAAACATTCCAAACGAAGCAATAACATCTCCATGGAGAAAGGCATTTGATGGACCCTCCACCAGAAAATACACAATGCACCTTTAATCATTTTAATTTTTTAGTTTGCACTACTGAAACCTGTCTTTAAACATGCTCACCCTTGTGTGACTTTGCAGAATGACTAAAACACATCCTCATGCACAGATAGCATGAAACCCTGTGCTCTATCTGCATTAATCCTGCACTGTCAGATTTAAAAAAAGATGCGTGTAGCGGCTTGTGCCCTCTGAGGCTGCCGTTGCCATAGTGATTAAGGGATAAAGCAGCGGGTGGTGAGTCACATGGCAGAGAAAATAATGATGATATGAACATTGTAAATATTGCATAGCTGTAGCACTAAAACAGCATCATATACTAGTATAGCCATTATAAGTATGTTAGCTCAACAGCTTTAGCATGGTTAAGTCTTCATGAGATCTTACTTAGCATGGTGTTAATTTAAAATGTGCACTACATTTGTCCTCTAGCTAGGTACACTCCAAACTATAAACCTTTATCTCAACATCTTGAAATGGGTTCAGGGCATTCGAGTCACTCGCTGCTCTTGATAGAAAACACTGCTGCACTTTTTGAAAAAAAAAAAAACATCTGAAATGCAGAAGACAAAGGTCCATCATGTTTCATGAATTGAACTGAAAAAAGGAGCTTTAACACAGTATTATTCTCAGTCCCAATTTAATCCTGGGAGAAGGGGATGATTTGCAGATTTAGAGTGATATTATTTAGTGCTTTACTGACGTTTGTTCTCTCTGGTTTTATGAATAAATAGACTAAAACCAAAGACAGACTGGACAGAGCAAAGCTTCATTTGAGCAGACAGGCTCAGACCTCTGACTGGTGATGCACAGATTATCCACAGATGAGACTTGTGATGCATCAGGGAGCTGAAACATCACAGTCAGACAGAGCTGTTACTACTCAGCCCCTTGTTGTAGTACTGGGTATAGTCAGACACTGTTGCTTCTATGGACATTTTATTTAGAATACTTTAAGTAAACTTTTCTTCATTCTTAATTATTTTTTAGCAAACTATACAGCAACAATGCTTATACACTGATATTATTTTGGAATTCAAGAATGGTTCGATATTTTCTTCATAGCAGCATTTACAATGCATTACAGCTTAAAAAGCACTATATAACTTTTTTGGTGGACAAATGAGCAATAAAAACACCTAACAAAATGTGTTATTGCTTTTAAATGAAAGCAAGAACTTAAATGTCATACTATGGAACATTACAGGTACTGCAAAAACATCTCTGTGGAGACAAACAGGTGGCAAACCCTACACTAGAAAAGTTACTTAGTGTGTCTTTATGTTTGTATTTATTGGTGTTGTATTATATTCTATGCAGCGTTAAACACGTTTGTAGTCAATAACCCCAGGTGATTATTCCCTAATATAATTCCTAGAAAAATATTATTTGAGAGACATTTGTATTGCTCATCTATTAGCATTACACACTACGGTGATTAATTATTTCTTGTATTTTGTTGCAGATCCAGGTGGTCACACCCACTCCCTTCAGTCACAGCAAACCAGCACCGAAGTGAACTCGTCCCAGATGAACCAACACACATATCTCCTACATGAAAACAATTTTAGTGCCATTTTTGTGCTGCTAAAAATATCTGATTTTGTGTTGCCCTGAAGTGAACCATAAGCCTTCTACCTAGATGTAAAATGGTTCAAAAACAGCTTTATCAGTATTAAGGCATGTTTTTCATTGCATTGTTAGCTCTCTGTTACATTTTCCCCTATTATCATTTTGGTGTCATTGTATAATTTGTACATGGCTATGAGATGTACCAAATGCTTGCTTTTAGAATTACATAAGTGGTATCATGAGAGAAAGACATTCAGATCAGTGTTGATAAAGTTTATTATTTCATTATCCCTCTGTTACAAACCAGATTTACAGTTTTCTGCTTGTCTTTAAAACTACAGAAATAATGTAATGCTGTTTCATGTATTTGTCAATGATTGGAATGTAAATTAAAGGCACACTGTGTAACTTTTTTGATAAAGGATCTGCCACCTGCTTGTCTCCATGGTAATGATACTGCTTTGCATTGAATGTTCCACAGTATGGCATTAAATGCATTTACCTTTACAATTACAGGTGTTACTACTTCAGTGTACCACAAAAAACATGCATTCTTACTCTAAGCAGGGTGACATCTAAACAGATCTGAACTGTAATTTGGCTTGTTGGCGTTACTTGCTTGTTACCATTTAATGCCATAATGTGGAACATAGCAAGTAAAGCATCTTCAAACATCTTCATGGACAGAAGCAGGTGGTGGACCCTTCACCGAAAAAGTTATGGTACACAGTGCATCTTCAATGAAAATGTATCAGTGTTTATTTAGTGCTGTAACCAATGCCAGTGTTTTTATTCCCCACAGAGACAAAGGATATTGGATTGTGCAATTCAGTCTCATCTGACGTAGGCTGCCAGTTACTTCTGTCTGTTTTTAAAATGAACATGAAAACTGTGAACAAAACCTGTACAAAACAATGTGTGCATACAATCAAAACCAGAAAAATTAAATCATTTTTCAAGATAACTTTTCACTGCGTGTGCCTGCTACTTACATTTAATAATATTTCCCTTGGATCAATAAAGTTTGCCTAAGTCTAATATAGTTATTTACATTAGAACTTTGTCTTTTTATGTTAATTCCTGTTAGGTATATATAGTTTTTATCCTCCTCAAATCTACATTTTCAGTCCTTCCCTGTCTGGTCCAGTAAAAGACTGGAGGACTGTCTATAAAAGCAACTTAAAGAGACACTGTGTCACTTTTTGAATAGGGGTTCTATCTCTTGCTTGTTTTCATGGAGATGTTATTGCTTGCACCTCCATGACAACAAGCAGATGGTGGAGCCTCCATCAGAAAATGTGCACATTTAAAAGGCAAAATATCATAAAAAGTTGTTAATTGTTCTTGAAGTGTGATTGAAGTAGGCCTTATATTATGCTTATTGAAATCGCCAGGATTTGGAACATTCTTTGTTACGGCTTAGAAATACCAAATCTGTTTAAAGAGTTTCCATCTCAACACATTTCTTGCATCTTCTCATAACTATTTAATAAAGAATCAATCAATCAGTTGTGCTTTACGAATTATTAAGGTCTTCAGTGCCTTCTCAGACCCATTACAAGTTAGTGAACCCTCAGACCTTTGTTACACATTGGTCCCGTTGGTGGCGTCCTTTCGGGACATGATTTTATAAACACTTTCTCTGAAGCTACTGTCTGAGGTAAGTCTTCGGGCTGTGGCCTTCAGCTCCTCCATCTCACCAGCTTCTTCACTGGCCACTGCAAAAGACCTGGAGTGTTTCACTGGACAATAAGAAGAAAAAGAAGAGGGAGGAGAAGCAAATTACGCAAGTAGCATTACCACGCCACAAGTAAGTAAAGTGTGTGTCTAGTCTGGATGCTCACTGAAATGCTCATACAAACAAGTTCAGATATAACAAAACACAATTAACACTCATAACTACAAAAATGTGTTGCC